CCTCGCCGGGCTAGTTTTTTGTATTTTTTAGTAGAGACGGGGTTTCACCGGGTTAGCCAGGATGGTCTCGATCTCCTGACCTCGTGATCTGCCTGTCTCAGCCTCCCAAAGTGCTGGGATTACAGGCTTGAGCCACCACGCCCGGCCACCTTCTTGTACTTGAATGCTGGTATCATTCTCTAGGTTTGAGAAGTTCTCTGATATTATCCCTTTGAATAAACTTTCTCACCCTATCTTTTTCTCTACCTCCTCTTTAATGCCAATAACTCTTAGAATTGCCCTTTTGAGGCTATTTTCTAGATCTTGTAGGCATGCTTCATTTTTTTTTCTTTTTGTTTCTCTGTGTATTTTCTTTCTTTTTTCTTTTTCTTTTTTTTTCTTTTCTTTCTTTGAGACAGATTCTCACTCTGTTACCAGGCTGGAGTACAATGGCATGATCTTGGCTCACAGTAACCTCTGTCTCCCAGGTTCAAGTGATTCTCCTGCCTCAGCCTTCCGAGTAGCTGGGACTACAGGCATGCACCACCACGCCCAGCTAATTTTTGTATTTGTAGTACAGACGGGGTTTCACCATGTTGGCCAGGAGGGTCTCAGTCTCCTGACCTCATGATCCACCTGCCATGGCCTCCCAAAGTGCTGGAATTACAGGCATGAGCCACTGCACCCGGCCTGACTGTGTATTTTCAAACAGCCTGTCTTCAAGCTCACTAATTCTTTCTTCTGCTTGATCAGTTCTGCTATTAAGAGACACTGATATATTCTTCAGCATGTCAATTGCACTTTTCAACTCTAGAATATCTGGTTGGTTCTTTTTAATACTTTCAATCTCTTCGTTAAATTTATCTGATAGAATTCTGAATTCCTTCTCTGTGTTATCTTGAATTTCTTAGCATTTCCTCAAAACAGCTATTTTGAACTCTCTATCTGAAAGGTCATGTATCTCTTTTTCTCCAGAATTTGTCCGTGGTGCCTTACTTAGTTCATTTGGTGAGGTTATGTTTTCCTGGATGGTGCTGATGCTTGTCAATGTTTCTCAGTGTTTGGGCATTAACAAGTTAGTTAGTTATTATAATCTTCACTGTCTGGGCTTGTTTGTCCCTGTCCTTCTTGGGGAGGCTTTCCAAGTATTTTAAGGGACTTGGACCCCAAGCCCAGTAATTCTGTGTTTTTTGCAGACTCATAGAGGTACTGCCTTGGTGGTCTTGCATAAGATCCAGAAAAATTCCTGGATTATCAGGCAGAGACTCTTATTCTTTTCCCTTACTTTCTCCCAAATAAACAGAGTATCTCTCTGTGTGCTGAACCACCTGGAACTGGGGGTGTGGTGATGCAAGGACCCTGTGGCCATCACTGCTGGGACTGTGCTTGGTCAGACCTGAAGCCAGTACAGCATTAAGTCTTTTCCAAAGCCCTTCCCTTCAGGGCAGTGAGCTTCCCCAGGCACCAGGTGTGTCCAGAGATGCTGTCTGGGAGCCAGGGACTGGAGTTCAAAACCTCAACAGTTTACTTGATGTTTATTCTACTGCAGCTAGGTTGGCACTCAACCTCAATACCAAGTCCTTCTCACTCTTCCCTCCCCTTTACACAGGCATAGGAGCTTCTCCCTGTGGCCACCACAACCACCATTCCATGGGTTCTTCCAGGCCACCACCCATGCTCACTTAAAGCCCAAGGACTCTTCCATCTGCTTGTGGTAAATGCTGCCAGGCCTGGCACTCACCCTTCAGGGCGATGTGCTCCATTCTGGCCCAGGGCAGGTCCAGAAATATTGTTCAAGAGCCTAGGCCTGGACTTGGGGACCCCAAAAGGCTGCTTGTTGCTCTGCCCCACTGTGCCTGAGCTAGTATCTAAGGTGTATGACAAAGTCCTTTTACTTTTCCCTCTGCTGTTTCTCAAGCAGAAGGAGTCTTTCACTGTAGCCATCACAGCTTGGGATGTGCTGGGTCACACCTGAAGCCAGCACATCTCAGAGCCCAAGGCCCACAGTGTACTCCCTGGATATCACTGCTGGTTATTCAAAGCCCAAGGGCTCTTTAGTCAGCAGGTGATCAATCTTGCCAGGACTGGGTCCTTTCTTTCAAGGAAGTGGGTTTCCTTTTGACCCAGAGTCTGGCTAGAAATGTCACGCAGAAGCTAGGGTCTTGAATGGAGGCCTCACGGCTCTGCCTGGTGCCCTAACCTACTGTGCTCAGCTGGTATCTAAGATGCAAGGCAAAGTCCTCTTTACTCTTTGCTCTTCTCTCCTTAAGCAGAAAGGAGTCCCTTTTATTGCTGGAAGCTGCAATGAAGCAAGGGAGGGATGGCGCAAGCCATCCCTTAGCGGCTATAGATATTGTCTCCTTAGGTCACGTGCCACACTAGTCCACTGGCTCTAAGCTCAGCCCAGCACTAAGGACTGCCTAGGGATTACAGTCCTCATGTCCTAGACTGCCTTTCAAGTTTACCTAGAACTACAGAACACTTCAGCTCATGGTGGTGAGGCTTGCAGAGAAACTCAGGTTCTAACTGCTGGGATGGGTGGTTCTCTTCTGGTTTAGGCTAGTCCAAATGCTCCCTCTGTACATGGGCACTGGCTGAGCCCTGAATGATTTTATTCCCCACTGTGACGGGGCAGCACTAAGTTCAATGTACAGTCTCCTAGTTGCTGTGTTCTCCCTCCCCCAAGTGCAGATTCTGTCTCCATGTCGCATGGCTATTGCTGGGGGATGGAGGATGGCGTTGGCAATTCAAGATTGTCTGTCTTGCCTTCCTCAATGCCTCTTACAGCAATATGTAGTTAAAACCAGGTACAGCAATTGCTCACCTGATTTTCTGTTCTTGTGAGTGCTTTTCTGTGTATAGATATTGGTTAAAATTCGGTGTTCTGGCCGGGCACAGTGGCTCACGACTGTAAGCCCAGCACTTTGGGAGACTGAGGTGGGTGGATCACGAGATCAGGAGTTGAAGACCAGCCTGGCCAAATGGTAAAACCCCGTCTCTAAGAAAAATACAAAAAAATAAAATTAGCTGGGCATGGTGGCA